CCAGCTGAGGAAAGCACTTGAACTGGAGCTCAAAGCACTCTTACTTTGTTTCTTTCGGGACATGCTGGTGATTAAATTGCTAGCAGATGTATGGAGCATTGCTGATGCTACTGTGACTGCAGTGCTGGCAATGGCAGAAATATCAGCAGTTGTTGGAACAGCTTGGGCAGGAGGCGAAGCACAAGTGACTTGTAGGCAAGTCATTCTCCCAAGCTGAGATGTGGCCAAAGCAAAATCCCAGGTCTAAAAATGAGGAGAAAATTCAAAGGTATCTCCAAAAGATATGACTAAATCCATGTTCTATAGTACCGTTAGCCCTTGAACAGAACATTAGCCAGGTTGTAGTAAATGCACAGGGAGTTGCTGTAGTGGACCAAGTTCAATATTCTCCCAAGAAAGGAACTAAGTCAGCATCTTACAGTAAGATACAGCTTGCTCTTTCCAATGGAGCTATTAGTATACTTTGTTGTGTAGTATGTTGTGGGGGGGTTTCTTTCCAAACATCTAAAAAATCAGTTTGTGCTGATATATTATAATATTTTCATTGATATCTTCGCTTAACTTTAAATAATTTCAGAAATTCTCAGCTTCTTTTAAAAATAACTGTACAGTTGAAGCAATACTAATTTAAACTTAGGTATAGACTTTGCATAGTAGAATTAATCCTTAAATTAGCCTCTGCTTCTAAAAATCTACCTGGCATATTTAATTCTTTGGCTTATAGTTCTATGAGCTGATCATATAGATGTAGATAAATATTTCCTCCTTGTTGTTTTAGTTACTTGCTGGTCACTTTATTTTAATCCTCCCATTCTTTTCACATCATTACTTTACTCCTTGTGATTTTACTGATTTTAAATACCACAGTGAACTCCTTTATAATACTAGCAGTCCTATTCTGAAACCTTCTCTGGGCCTCCTGTTCCAGCTGTCCTCTTCTGTCACATGCAAGTTGTGTCCTCAAGCTAGGACAATGCCATCTCTATGCCATGTTTGTAATTCAGACTGGATCGTCCAGCCTACAGGACCTCTCCCTGCCTCTTTCTCCCCGCATCCCCAGCAGGGAGGGTGAAGCTGCCTATGCACATCTACCCATGTGTGATGGGACAGCCCTTCTGGAGGACACCCAGAACTCTGGATCTCCTGCACGTGTGCTCTCCTGTCCCAGGACCACACACACATGCTGCCACAGCCCTGTCTTCCCCCTAACATGGGGCTTGGCAAAGCTTCTCTTCAAGCTGGTGAGGAGGCACATGGAGATGCCAGGGTGGCAGTAGTTAGAAAGCAGTATTTGGCGTGGGCATCAAGAACTGTTCCAGGTAGTTTTCATGAGAGATGAGCTGTTTGCTTGATGACTAATTAATTTGCTTTAAAAGCACATTCTGGCTCATTCTTAGAGTGATTTGCAAATGTATTTTCAATCAGTGTGTGTCAAAATAATTTTGGGGGGAGCAGCTTATATTTGCCAGATATCTTTAGGGAGGAGTGGCAGTTCCCCAACAGAGCCACCCAAAAGCTGGGGTCTTTGAAGATAGGCTGGACCACTTATCCACTACCTCTTCCTCTCCTGTAGACAACTGCCTAGTGCATCCCCAACAGCCAAAGCAGAGTCTGCTGAACAGAGGTGTGCTCAGTACCTAATATTTATTGAGGCAAGTTAAAAATTAAAAAAAAAAAAAAATAATAAAAAAGAAGAAAACTGGATCTATCATGGTAGCTAGGACATAAAAATCCTAAATTTCTGTATTAATTTCAGCCTAACTGCAACGAGTATTTCAACATTGCACAGGCTACACTAGCATCAACATGAAGGATCATTTTTTCTGATCCAGAATGCCACTTCCTGTTTTATTTTCTCCTATCCAGTTTCTATTTTCTTATGCTTTTAGAAATTTTGGGTGGTTGGGTTCCTGCATGGCAGGCTAAATGTACCCTCATGGTCTCTCCAGTGTTTCATCTTTGCTCGATGTTGACATGGGTTCAGGCTGCCACTGAAAAGCCATTGTGCTGTCCCCCCTCATCCCATTTCAGGGCTGTGAATTCCTCCTGTCTTCTGTGCACTCGAGCTAGCACTTTGTGGTCTGAAGGATAAACTAGAAGTTTGAGGGTTTTTTCTCTACTGGTTTTCAGCATGAGACACTTTTTGCAGACTTCTTAGAATTTCTTCCTAACATTTAATCTAAATCTACCCAGTTTTAGTTTAAAATTATTACCTGCTGTCCTTTCACTACAATCCCTGATAAAACTCTGTCTGTGACCTTCCTGTTGGCCCTGGATACTGGATACTGGAAGATGCTACAAGATTTCCCTGAAGCTTTCTTTTCCCCAGGCTGAACAACCCCAACTCTCTCGGCCTGTCTCCATGGGAGAGGCACTCCATTCTCATGTTCAACTTAGTGGCCCTCTTCTAGACTTCCTCCAACAGATTCCCATCCTTATTATGCTGAGAAGCTGACAAATGGATGCAGTACTCCAGGTGGGAGGGTCTCACAAAAGTGCAGTAGAGGTGTAGAATCACCACCCTCAGCCTGCTGGTCCTCCTTCTTTTGATCCCTCCCAGGATACAGTTGAGTCATGCCCAGTTTTTCATCCACCAACACCCCTAAGCCCTTCTCCACAGGGCTGGTTTCAATCCATTCATCACCCAGCCTGTGTCCATGTTTGGGATACCCCAGCCCAGGCACAAGACCTAACACTTGGCCTTGTTGAAATACATGAGGACTGCACAGGCCCAGCTCTCAAGCCTGTCCAGGTCTCTCTGGATGGAATCCCTTCTCCTCTAGAGTGTCAGTCACGCCACTGAACTTACCATCCCCAGACTTGCTGAGCACTCAATCCTGCTGTCCACGTTCCCATGTTAACAGCAGGATGTTAAATAATATAGTCCCAGAGGGACACCACTCATCACTGGTCTCCACACAGCCACTAAACCATTGACTGCAACCCTTTGAGTGCATCCATTGCCTTGTCCACTGAGCAGTCCATCCATAAAATCTGTGTCTCTCCATTTCAGTGACAAGGATATGCATGGGATAGTATGAAATGTTTTGCACAAGTCTAGGTAGATGATGTCAGTCTCTCTTCTCTTATCCACCACCACTGCAACCCTGTTTTAGAAGGCAACCAGATTTGTCCTTTTTGCTGAGTTTCATCTTGTACTGTCATGTAAGTGCACACTGCAGTAGCAGGATTCTCCCTGGGTGACCCTCCCTGTCCTCTGTCAGTGCCAGCCTGGGAAAGGAGCAGGGAGCAGGGAAATGATGTATAAACTTTGTGCTGCTGCAGTGAGTGAGGCTTGTGAAATGAAAGACTTGGACAGAAACCAAGAGAAGTGGTGGAATGTAGGGCTGCTGCAGAACCGAGGTGCTAATGACATTCCAGCTAGGAAGAGCAAACGGGATCCGAGGCAGTGTTGTGCTCTTACAGCATCTTTGTTGGGCACGGGAGAGGGAAATTAGGCTTATATGTTACAGTATTTCCATATGGAGCTACTGTAATGCATGGAACTACACTAAGGTTTGTGATGAGCGTGGAAGGGTAAACAGCGATAGATGCTTCTGTGGTTCCTCGCCCCTTCCCTTTCTAAAAATCCAGGAACAAGGATACAGGGAGGAAGAAGCAGGTGGTGTTACTGAAATATGGATTCTGTGATTCTTACAGGGTGTGAAGGATGGCTTTTTTTTATGATTGCAATATACCAAGTGAGAATTGGATCCTTCTCAAAGCAAGGAATTAATTATCCCGCTTAGAAGTTGGAATAATGTGAAGGAGCACCACATGATCTTCCTGTTCTAGTGCCAGTGCACCTCCATAACATCGTCTTTTCCCCTTCCAGCTTATTTTAGGCAGTATTTATTTGTGTCTTGTGTGGCCTGTAGTAAGAGAAAAGTTGCAATTAAGCATCAGTATAGACAATATCTTGTCTTTTAATAATGACAAGATATGGGAGGATCATGGTAAATAAAAGTGGAGTAATCTGATTCTTGTGGAGATGTTTATCCTGTCTCTGCCTTTCAGAGTTCTGGTTCACTGTGAATTTTATAATTTTAAATCCTAGACTTTATTGATCAGTGGTAAGATTTTGGCGTTTGCATTTTGCTACTGTGAAGACTCATTTGTGATTTTCCTTTCTGTCTCCTCAAACGTGAATCCTCTCTGATTTCATTGAGTGATCAGTTATTCTCATGTAATGTAAAGCCTAGCACAAAAAAATCTGTATTTTCTTTGTGCCATGTTGCATAATTGCATGATGTCTCTTGTAATCTCTCCTTTGTGAGGTAAATAATCACAGCCTTTTCTGTCTTTTCTCATATTAAAATTTATCAAAGTCCTTTGTTATTCCTACTACTATAATTGTCTGAATCACCTCTAACATTGGAGCATTCTTTTCTTGAGACGCTGTTGCCAGCACATGTGGCATGGCAGAGATAACGCTGATCTACATTAGTAACCTCCCTTCTGGTCACCATTTTATTCACCATTTATCCTAATTTCTTTTAACTACAGTTAAGAATTTCATTTAGAAGAGTGGTCTTCCTTGAAAAGGGTTCTGTGATCCTGAGGTGTCTTTACTGAATTGATAAAGTTTGCTTGAAGAGTATGTGTAACTACATTTTCTCCCTCTAGTTCATGCTGATCTCAATGTTGAGCTCATCATGATACTGTCTTTTCACCCAGCATTTTTTAGGTTTATCTTGAGATTCTTCACTGTAATTTTTGATCTTTCCTGACCCAATAATTGTGTGTTATCTATAGGTTATTGTTCATCTTCTTTTCCAGATCAAGAATAAATGTAATAAAAACCACAGAACTGAGTTTACCAAACCTTTTTCCTGATGTGAAACAGTTATTATTTGGAGACATATGTTAGACTATTCATATGATTTGATAAATTCTTTTTATGTAGATTTCAATGGCTAAAAGACTAGATTACAACTACTTTTTTCTTCTTCCATGCAAAAACCATAACAAAACTAACAATCTACCAAATTATCTTACAGACCCTGTCCAGAAGAATTTCAAATCCATATTTGGAAACTTCTGCAAATAAGGTACTTGTGAAGCTTCTTTTTAGTTCTAGTTCATCAAACAACATGCGAGGAATGCTTCTGTTTCAGTTCAACCTCTTAATGGTAGCATTGAAGACACTTGTGAATGTGACCTGCAGTTAAATCCAGTTAAGAAGTTGTTATAATTTCGTGTGTATGTTACAAATCACGTCCTTCTATTACTGAGTTTGCAAACTGAATTGTTGTTAATTCCAATGTGCACATGCTTCCCAGTCACTTAAATGATTGCCACTATCTAGCTTACTTTCACAGTATTTGAGAACTCTGGTTTGCATGTTGCAAGACTTTGCTGTCTCAGGTCTATTCTATATGCCTTAAAAAGTTCCTAAACGTAGGAAGCAAGGAAACAAACGAAAGGATGAAACCAAACAACATCAAGTTAGTTCTTTGTGTCACTTGGTGCGTTTTGATGGGACAGTGAGGAAACATCACGATAGAAGCCCAAGGTAAATTCTTCAGTAAGGAGTGGCACACAGAGTCTGGGTGGAACATGGTTTTATGGAGGACTGAGTAGCTGGGTTCCCTTTTGACAGACACATCTGCAGCCTTGAGGTGCAGGGTAGAAATCAGGTGTGGGGAAATCAGAGGTGTGTCCATTCTGAAAGACCGTATTCTCCTAGCAATGAATGGATGAACTCATCTACAGCTATCATAGGAAACCTCCAAAGACTCTGAACAAAATAAAATACTATGAAATAGTCTTTCAGCATGTATTAGGCTTGAAATAAATTATTTAGCTCAAATACATAGGAAATTATATTTATTTTAAACTGTCTCTGTGTGATTGTGCAATGGTTCATATGTCTCTGCTTTGCTAAAATAACACGTGTTTTCATTTAACTTGTCTGTTGTTAAAAGGTAAAGCTGATGGATAGTAAAACCTCTCCTTTTCTAGGGCAGCAAATCCAAAATCAGCCCACTTCATGGGGCACCTGCAACCCATGATACAACTGGCAGAAGCTGGGCTGCATTTCCTATGAGACTTTGAGAGTTTGCTTATCATTTACCTGGCAAGAAGACATTGCTCAAAGGGAGGGAGTGGACAGTGGCAAGGCAATTTACTACAGCAAGAATAAATCCCTGTTTGTCACAGTTTTCAATTTCTCTTTTCATTCAGATTTATGGAGAAAGTTCTTCCTGTGCTGGGAGAGCTCTCAGGAATATTTTTACTCTACAAGCTTCTGACCTGATTAAAGACAGGGTGTACCTTACTGGCATTTGCAGGTAAATCAAAATAATTTGTTTTAATCAACTTTAAGAGTTTCATTTTCATTTATCTATGCCCTGATTTGACAAGTGAGTAAATTCTGAGTGAGAGATTCTGTGTATGTCACTAAGAATTGAACATATTTTCTTAAAAATTCTTTAAAGTCTCATGTACCTTAATATATTTTCTTACATTACAATGTCAGCTGTCAGAAAGCAGTGGTGGCCTGATTGTATATCCATTTATTCAATTGCTTATGATTTTCATATACAATAGTGTTTGTCAGCTATTTTTTTGAAAAGAAAGGGTATTAATTTCAGCCCTGGTTTGGAGTTATAAAGGAGCTTAATTGGATTCCAAGATTTATTGACACAGTGATTTCTGCATGTAATTTATGGAATATTTCTGTAATGAAGTGATTTTCCATTTGTGCTGCATTGTAGCATAAATGCTTTCTTCTGTTTTCAATTACACCAAAATGTGCAGCACCTCTGTTATAGCACCATTCATTCACATCTGTGTTTAAGAATTATCCACTACTTTTTAAAAATTATTATTTAAATATATACATTTGCTGATAATATGAAAGATTGAGTACTTTCTAGAGCAGCACTTAAAGGTCTTACACATATTGTTTAGCTCTACTGATTATGCCTGTGCTCAGAAAGGAAATAAAATCCTGAGGCCAAAAGTTGGATTTTATTTATCTTTGGATGAACTTTATGGAGCACAAATTGATAAAAATGCTACATATTGCAAAGTATGCTACATGAATCAGGTATGTAAGGGAATTTGCTCATCTAACATAAACTCCTTCATTGTAGCTAGAGGTATCTCCTGATTCTTGCCAATGTAATTTCTTCTCTTGAAATGAATGGGTTTACAAAAATTTGGAATTGAGACAAAGAGTTTTCTCTGCTGAACAAAAAGGCTGAGTTTTGATTTTTGATAGCTTTAAAAACAGCTCTTTATTATAAAATAATGTTTTAACATTACTATAGTTTAAGAAGTGATGTTTTGCTTATTTTCAGGAGAAGTTGTGTTGGATCAGAACTCGTAGACTGGCTTTTGGAGCAGTGCCCTTTTGTCAAGTGCAGATCTACAGCAGTTGGAGTGTGGCAGCTCCTCCTGGATATGGGCATTATATTGTCAGGTCAGTGCTGCCAGTACTTCCAGTGGCAGGAAGGCTATTCCTTTCTCCTGCATAGGACAAGAGTCCTGGTTTTGATTAGAAGAGGGAAGGAAATAAAGCACAGATTGATCTAATTTTCTTGCCAGTTCTTTATTCCACTATCTTTTTGGGAGACTTCTGTGACCTTTCATTTCATAAATACCAAAGATCAATCCCTTGGTTTTGGCAGTCTCGTTCCTTTTGCTTTTGCAACTGTAATTGTCTATTATTGAGTTGCAGACAGAGTGCGTGTCTTTTCCAGCCTTTTATTTTTTTTCCTGGCAAGCTATTTTAGGTTTCTCACAAGACAGCAGCTGTTTAGTTGCCTGCAGATCATGGCTTTACCAGATGACTTCTGTAGCTGTTAATGATTTTCTTTCACTCTCTGTTTTCCATAATTTTTAATTAGAATGGGTTGAGAGTTGGTCCAGTTCCTTGAGATGGTGGTGAGGCCAGGTTCTACCCTGCTGTCCCTGACTCCCCCACCAAACTGAATTATTTGGTCCAGTTAACGTGGCTGGTGATAATTACACTGGTAACCAGCCTCTGGATATCTGATGGGTTTTACATTGAGGCTAGGACTACTTAGGTAGCTCAGCTCAGGTCATACCCCACCCTGGGGTCTGTGCTAGACACTTAACCTCTTTCTTGTGAAAAGGTGAGGAGTTGTGGAAAATTTCTGCATGTGTACACTGACAGTGTACCTTAAGGTTTTCTTCAGCTAAGCTGGCAGCATGTCTGTTCATGCAGCCTCAGCAAGGGCTAAATTACTTGTTACAGGAGCTTGTGCTTTTGGCTTTGTACCTCTGTCCTTTTTCCCCCATTAAATCCCTTGTTCTTTTCAGGGAAGACAACTGATACATCTTCTTATCCAGGTCTAGTCTACAAATCCAGTAGCCCTGAATTTGAGGAGAAGCTGGGCTTCTTCTTCTAATTATGGGCTGCATCCTCATTACTGAACTTTGTTTTCTAGTGCCTGACCATTAGTAAAAACAGTTTAGAAACCAATGGAAACTGAGACTCAGAAATCTAACAAAAAAGGGGAAGGTTTTTATTCCCTAAACCTAAACTGATTCTAAAATTGATTAAACACTCGTCAGTCTTAAAACTTGAATTTCAGAATCCTGGAGGTCTTTAAACTGAGGTTTTGGGGTTTTCCTGTTTGGATGCACTGAATTAAACAGAGAGGTCAGCATTGTTTCTGTGCTGAGTATTCAATCCTTTTTCCCTGTGTGATGGTACAACTCAGCATTAAGATCCAGTGTAATACAAAATGTGCTAGGAATCTACATGGTGAAGGTTTAAAGGGTATCTAATATTATTTTTTCTAACAGTGGACAGACAACTCTATTTTCAAGACAGTCATACTTTTTACCAGTTCTCAGCGGACGAATGCACCTACCTTTTCTGTGAATTTGAGAAAGAGGAAGCATGGAAGAATGGAGTAAAGCTCCTGCTTCAACTGCTGCCACTGTCTCCTCCCAGGATTGACATGTGCAATCTGTAAGTGTGCAGATATAGTTGTTTGCAATTTCTACTGATTACTATATAAGTGTCTGGCCTTATAATGACATTGTTACCCCCAAATCACCTTGCAAATGAGGCAGCTTTCTTTTGGGGGCTGAAAAATCTTGTAGAGATGTGCTTTTCATGTAAGAAGGTCAGTATGGGTAGAAAAATGGAGGCACTTGACTAGGAGTTTTGGACATATTACAGTTTTTAGGCACCTCTAAAACTTCTACCTCTAGTTTGTTATATTATCTGGGCATGTGATTTTTTTTTTTTTTTGTTTCCTCTTACATTTGGATGTTTGGCATGAATTTGGCAGCTGGGATGCTCTGGTTCTGGTTGACTGGCAGACCAGATGCCCTTGTGGTGTGTCAGGATCAGCTTTCAGATGGATTGACAAGATGGGTGGAAATGTGGTACCTTCAGTCATTTGATTTTAGTTTTCTACTGTATGTTTGCCAGAGCTCTGTAAACTCACATTATTATTCCTTTTTCAGAATATGCCTTTTAAGAATTTTGCTTCCTAAATGTCTCCCCTTTCACCTGACTTTGGTTGGATGTTGTCATACTCTCTGTGCTCATGTGTCTGCACACTCAGGTTGCCTGTTTAGAGTGGCTAGAAGGAAAACATAGTTATTTGTTCCTCAGTGAGAGGCCAAAATAGAGGAAAAAAGGTGTTAGTGAGAGCTCTGGAGGCTCATAACCATTTATGCTTTAGTAAATCTGCAGGAGTTGGCCTGAACAGACAAGTTGAGTTAAATTCTTTCATTATCTCCAGCATGATGATCCTCAAACCAATACTTTGGAGAACTATTACTCTGGCAGTACTAGAATTTATTCTCTTTGATGCCAAAGACAAACCTTTCTTCTATGAGTACTTTACTTCTCTACATATTAGATTTTAAAAATGCTCATTCTCAAAGATGAATGTCCAGTAGAAATATTTTAAAGGAGCACAAAGCCCAAAGACTCTGCAAGCTGTCTCAAGCCCAGATTCTTAGATTCAGACATGTTGAGCTGGTAGAAAAATCCTCAGTAATTTCTCTACACTGTTCAGGGCAGAAACTTGATTCCCTTCCCTACTGCTGATTGCCCTCACCAATCAAATATTGGCAGTTCTGGAGAGCAGCTTCCCTTCAGAATGCATTTATTTGATCAGCTTCAGTGAGCGTAGGCAAGTGACAAGAACTCCAAGCTGGCTAGAGCAGCAGGACTGAATACGATCTTCTAAGCAGCTGACTCACATGGGACAAAACCTTTGACTTTTTTTGCAAATAGAAAGTCTTGTTTTCCAGCCAACTCTAGTGCTAAACAGCTTGTCTGTCCCTTAAATATCAGGGCATTTTGATCTTGATTTTAGTGGGAATTGGGATTTTTCTCATCACTGCAAATCAGACCCCTTCTCATGGTTTGTGTCTACTCGTTCAAAGGATTTGAATCAAAAGGACAGAACAGATAGGTCATATTGATGTGTTACGTGAAGGATGCTGGGTAGGAAAATGGATTGAAGGCTTTTTAGGTTCAAGTTTACAGTCTGCTTTGCAGTTTTATCATTTCAGTGCAACTGTCATTTCCAGTGGAAGATGATCCCTGTCACATGAATTGAACAATTATTCATTAATGTACATTTCCAGCTCCTTCCTGCTCACATTATTCAAATTTGAATTGAAGCTGGATTCCTTTTGGGAATATTGTCACTGAAAAATTGTTTTCTGGAGCTTTTACCTGTCAGATTGTGAGGGTGCTTTTTGAAAAAGTATATACCGTAGGAATTGAATTTTAAATAATAGTATCCCCTTGAGGGAATGTGATGTTAAAGCAGAAGGAGACTTTTCCAGATTCAAAATTCTTCATGCTTTATGCAAATAATAAACTGCTAAACCACAGTCAGAAAGGGAATAGGTGTGATGAGATGTTTGTTAAAGTTGTCTGACCTGGTTAAACAAAGCCATATATTCCTTTTCATGAGGAAAGAGGGAATTCTAAAAACCTCTCCCTTCAGGGTTTGTCTTTTCTTGAATATATAAGCTGTTTTGCATACCATTAGAAGCATAGGATGCTTTTTATAATTTAATATTTTTTTACTCATTTTTCTGTCTTAGCTTTTCTCACAATCTATATTGACTGCATTAACTATATGTACACAAGAATAAGAGAAATTCTTACTTCATTAATTCCCTGCTTTTGATGAGATCAGAAGCAGCTGCCTGCTTGTGCACCAGAGGGAACATTGGATGTCTCCTAGAGGTCCCAGAGGCCAGATGACCTCTGTCTCCTCTGCAGCTGTGGGCAGCAGCCTTGTGCTTGCCTGAGCTGCTAGGTGCATCAGTGGGTCTCTGGAGAACCATGGTTCTGCTCTCCTAGAAGGAGTCTGTAGACCTGAGCAGGCAGTAGCAGCTCTGGGGACTTCCTTCTGCAGCTGTTCTGGAAACCCTGTTAAATAAACATAGCTCAGATTTGACTTGCTGTGTGGATTTTTGATGGATCTGTATTTGTTCCTGGTCAGTTTTAGTGGTGTTACCAAATTACTATAGGAAACTCTACAATAAAAATATTGTTCTGGAGTCTGAGATGTGCTTATGGTTTCTGAATAAATGCTTCCTGTTTGCCTTGGTGGAAATTCCTTACATTCAACGTAACATTAGTGGGAATTCATCACGGAAAACAAGTCAGGACGTAGCAGATTTTCAGCAGCTCACACTAATCTGAAGGCTAATGTTGTGTATATTCCACAGGATTCAGGGCCTGTAAATGTTGGCAAATTATATGGGACAAATGAAGAGGCTTCTTGGGGTCATTAAAGACCCAGTGTTAATCACAGTCATTCTACTTGAGTAGGAAAAAAGTGAATATTGCAATAGCCTGGGAACAAAAAACATGAATTGAAAGCTGTCCCATGGACTCCCTTACAACCCTGAGCAATCACTTAGGCTCTTATTCAGTGCCTCCTGAATTCTTTTCCAGTTACTCTAATGGTGTTGTATCAGGTGTTTAATCCTTGTGTGCTTCTATTTCCTTCTTTGTAAATGGGAGTGTTTATAACAATTCCCACAACCACTGGTAGACTCAGTGAACATTTCAAGAATGCGCTCGGTAGCTGAGACTGTTGAAATGTATACCATAATACTTGTAAAAATTATTAGAAGGTATGTTAGCAGACTTTTGTTTCTTTATCTTACATCACTTTTTGTTTTCAAGAGTGTTGCACTTATATTCTCTGTCTTCTGAACCGAAACAATTTGCATTTTATTGGTATCAGAAAAGTAACCATTCTTAAAAGTAATTTGGTTTTCATGCAAATAGCCAGGATGGGATATTGATTTAGTTACTGCCTCATGGAGTTCCAGGAAAGCTTTTGTTGCACACAGACAGCTCTCAGGTATTGTATGAAAACAGACTTGGCTGCTTGCAGAACCAGGACAAGCATCCCTGCATCTTGCTCTGCTGAGCAGACTGAGCCTGCAGATCACTGAACTGTATAAGCACTAATTTGCCTGGGCTTTGGAGCTTCTCTTTGGTACCAGACTCACTAGGTCCTAGCTGTCCACTTTTGAAAAAAAATAGGGTGATAACTGTTGCTTTTGTCCATTGGCCTTGGTGTCATAATATACTCTTCCTCTCTGATTCTGAAGAGCTGACTCTAATTTTCAGTTCATGGTTTCAGAAGCATTTGATGCTCATATGCAGATGAATACTGAGAGTGTTTTTAAATAGAAAATGAAGTGATAAAGGCCCAAGAAGGAGCTAGCTATACTATGTGCTGTTCTGGGTTTATAGATTGCATCTGTGGCTGTGTCTACTGAGCTGCTATTTTCTGCCTCCAATTTAGAAGAATCAGGTCCTAGCCTGCTTCTAAGAGATCAGAACAGAAGGGATGTGTAGAGAAACATCCAAAGAGTTCAGTTATTTTAATCTAATTCTAAATTATAAAGAGAAAATCTGAATAAATCAGTCTCTGTAAATGAAAATGCATTCATTTATTTCTTTTGGGCTGCTTGTAACACTTAAAATGTTAAATCACATTTTCTTTGAGTAGGAAAGGCAGTTATGAAAATAATTGTGATTTTAATCTGAATTACCGTTTTGATCTGAATTTGCTTTCCCCAAAATGAATGCTTGTGTCATTCTGTGCTTTCTGACCTTAATTTTTTAATCAGGGAATGAAATTTTTGGACATGGGATGTAAGAACCACAATATACCAGCTGCATATTCCAGATGTGTTGCCAACTCTCTCCCTAAGAACATCAAGGCATATAAGCAATTAAATAATTTAGTCAAAGACAGAAGCTTCTGCTCATACCTGGGATTTATTTTTATTACAGCAGCTGCAGTTTTGTGTATCTGTTCAGCTTGCTGGCATGCTTCTTGAATACCACGAAAAATAAAGATCTCAAGGGCATTTTCTTTTACTTCTTGCTGTAGTTATAACCCTGTTATATTGGTAAAATGCTTCTGATTGTCAATAAAGCTTCTGAAAAACTGACAGATATTTTAGTGATGGGAATTAGACTGTTCTAAAGAAAAACACAGTCTTACCCTGTACTGCTCACTTTTGTGTGGCTATTTCCACGTGGGCCAGGCTTCTGAGACAGTTTCTAGGAGGGTTCTACCTTCACTGCCACACTTTTGAAAAAACACATTAAGTGTCTTTCTTGTGAGTCAAGACAACTGTCAAGACAACCTAATATTGTGCTCAGCCATTGCTTTAATTTGGTTCGTTATGGCTTCTTAAACATATTATTTTCACTTTCAGTTATTTTTTTCTGAATATTGAATTTCACGTGTAACGAAATTATTTTGATCTTGTCTGTTTTCATCGACATGAAGTTGTATTCCATAGATGTTGCTCCACACCTTAGCAAAGCTGGATGGTGGGCGGATAGAAAACTCTTTGTTCATGGAGTATGTTCTTAGCACAGCAAAATATGCAGTCAAATAAGCAACTCTGATCTAAAGAGTCCTGCATTCTTCAGTTCTTCATTATATTTTTATAGCTGAAGAATTCTCTCACTGCTTCATGTTGGTCGGATCAAAAGAGTTCTTGACAGTAAGGGACAAAGGGTGTACTCTGTCGTTACTGACATGATTAATTATTGTCATGTTGCAGTCCTCATTTTGATGTGGAATCTCAAAGGCCCTTTTACATTGGTGCCTGTGGCTACACAGTTCCTTACTTTCCAGGAATCAAAAGATATTGAAACAGAATGAAAGAAATAATAAAATCTTATTTTTATTTTTTAAGGCCTGATCAAAAAATAGAAGATACAGCAGAAACCAATGCTGAAATTCTTGCTCGTCTCACTTCTGCGGTAAGGTCATTGCATCAATGTTTGAACTGATCATGTTTGAAATATTGTCGTGTTTTGGATCCTTTCAAATGAAAGACTTAGTCTAAGTGAACAGATGTTTGTATATGAAGACTGTTTTTTTAGTCTCTGGAAGGGGAGAGCTTTACTGAGGTCTAGCGTACAATTCCAAAGCTATTAAAATCAACCCAAGCAAGGATTGCAGCAGCCTGCTCATCTATTGATGCTATTCATGGCCCAGAAGATACCAGCTTGGAGGTGATTTTTGTGCAATGTGCTTTACTCTCAGACCCTCTTGGGTCAAGTGTACATCAATAGGAGACAAAAGGAGAAAAAAGTCTTCAGCAGCCCTTGTGTAGATTATCATAAACTCCTGAGAAGACCCACCTGGGAAACCTGAGCTTCCCAACTATGTTTAGCCTCAATAAATTTCACCATAATAAACAATAGCTTATTCTGTCTGTGCTAGACTTTGGTGCATCTTGTTTATCTTGTGAGATCACTGTTCTAAGAAGCAGACAGGCAGGACTAAAGAAAGTTAAGCTAGACTGACTCTGTTTAATGTAATCTGTATGATAGCACAGAGTGCAGCCTCAGAAGATTAGCAAGCAACGCAGCACTGGGAGGAATGTCTGGTCACCATCCCTGGAGATATTTCAAATATGTGTGGATGTGGCACTCAGGGACATGGTTTAGTATGGACTTGGCAGTGCTGGGTTAACAGCTAGACTTGATGATCTTACAGGTCTTTTCCAACCAAAATAATTCTATTATTCTATGGTTGTGCTGCCTGTCTTGGTTTGAAAGACAGGTGTCTCCCAAGAAAGGCAGGACCCTCTTTTTAAAATGGAGAATGTAAACCCCCTCCCTCCAAATTATTATAATTTTGAAATTTAGAAGCTCTCAGGCAAAGATATGGGAATAGGAGTAACAGTTCTTTACTAGGAAAATTAAAATAGCAGTACAGTATTACAGAGAACAACTCCCCCCCCAAAAAAACACTGACAGAGTCAGAATACAACCTGACCTGTTGGTCAAGGAGTTGGTAGCAGTCCCATTAAATGGTGGCTGCAGTCCTCCTGGAGTGACAGATGTGGTTCAGTTGAAGCAGTGATCCTCTAGAAGGGTGCAGTTTTCCTCTGAAGGTCCAGTGATGATGTGGAAATGTCCGGTTTTTCCTCTGGAATCCAGTGGAAAGAAGGCTGCCTTGGTGTTCCAAATCTCAGATTTGATTTAGGTAGGAAATGCCTGGCTCCTCCCCCTGGCTGGAGCATCTCCCAATGGGATGATGTAATTTTATCAGTCATGCAGTGGGACTCAATGGCCCATTAACAGAAGATATCTTCCTGGAGGAAGGATGGGTTGTGGAAAAGACAAAGAGCACTGCCCCACCTGGTTTTATCAGATGGCCCATTAGCAGAGAATAGCTCCCACAGAGATAAGGATCACTGCCCCAGCTGATTTCAATAGATGGTGATAGAATACATACTTTTGGTGACATCCTGTATTGCAACCTAAGACACTGCCATTTAGAGGGACTTTGACAGTCAGGAATCTCAGGAGAGTCAACAAAGGGCAATTCAATATCCTGCATCTGTGAGAAGTGCCCTCATGATTCTATGCAGATGGGGGTTGACTGAAAAGCAGCTTTGCAGGAAAGGACCTGGGTGTCCTGGTAGGTAGACAGCAGGTTGAACCAGAAACATGCTCTTGTGACAAAGAAAGCAAGTGCTTCCTCAGCTGCATTAGTAAGAGCATTGTCCTTAGGCTAAGGATCATCCCCCTCTCCTCAGCGCTGGTGTGCCAAATGTGGAGGGTTGGGTCCAGTTCTGAACTCTCAGTACAAGAGGTGTGGATGTCCTGGCATGTATGTGAATGACCATGGAGACAGCTGGGGAATAGAGTACGTGACTTACAAGGAGAGTCTGACAGAAGTGGGAGTGGAGTTTGGGAGGACCTTACTGATGTATACAAATGCCTGATGGACAGGCTCTAGCTGGCCATGATTTTCAGCAGAGGCTTGGATCAGATGATCTCCAGAGATGCTTTCCCTACCTCTACCACTCTGTGATCGTGCAGTTCTGTGGACACTGCGCCTAAGTCATGGTATCTTCAAAACATGAATTAGAGTTAGTTCCATTTTTGGCATGTGAGAAAGTACAGAGACAAAAATGAAGCAAGCAAGGCAAAATTTCTATGAAAAAGGCATGAGGATAAGAGCAGGCATGAGGATAAGAGCTATTTAAATAAAATAAGTAAAGTGCTATCTTGAAATTACTGGAAAATGGAAGGAAAGGAGAATTTTTGGTCTTTAAAAAAGACATTTCATAATGTGTTTGGAAAGCCAATGATTCTGTATATTCAACTTTATGCATAAGTATTTTAAAATGTATGACATAAGCAAGTGCTGAGTTTTAAATGTCTTTTTTTTAATTGTCTCTATATTGTCTCAATATTCAAATTCCTTGTTTTCTCTACTTTTTTATTAACTGAAAATGAAAGGTGAACTCAGAACCTCAATATTCTCAATTTTTGTTATCATACAGAGCAAAAATAGAAAACTGTGAAAGACTTTCTGCAAAGTTATATTTTTTTCAAAAACTGGGGGGTTTTGTCAGTTAAAAAAAAGGGACACACTTAGTAAAACAAAGTGACCTTTTGAGTTTAAGAATTGGATCTAGCAGTTGCTGGATGCACTTGAGTAACATGCATATCCTTAAACACTTAATTGACAGTGAGTTCAGAGTGTTTCACATCTGCAAGGTCAAACCTGTGAACTACATCCTGAGTCATTTCAGCAGTAGGGCACATGGATAGGGTTTTCTTAAATGAACCATTGTATTACTGTAGCTAACTAGCTAAAGAAAAATTAGGCAGTTCCATCTCCAGATGGCCTGTGACCCATCTATTACCATGGTGATGTCAAGAATCTGATCTTTTCGCCTGCATTTTCTGATTTTCCACAGAGCTTTGTAGTGCCTCTATAACGACTTTCTAGTCTACCCCTGGGGAAAAGGCACAAGATCAGAGCAGAATCCTCCAAATTTTAACACCTGTATATGAACTTTACCTGTTTTTCCCTCCAGAATTTTGCTTTTTCTCCATACAGTAGATTGGGACCTAAAATAGTCACTGCAAGCTTGTGGAAAGTCTTTTTAATTCCCAGAAGAGTTTGAAACCTCAGTTCACACAATTCAACAGAGGGCTGGACTATCTAGTATCTAGGTTCTCCTTTTTTTGTAAGCAGGAGATGGAAACTGAAAGTGAAGTTATTAGCTATTACTGGAAATGTATTCATACTGGCTTTTTGGCTTCCCAAATGTCTATGTCTTTTGTACAAAATTAAACCATTCCTCTTTAAAGAATTCATAATTGAAAATCCTGCTCATGATACTCTTCGCACCAGTATCTCAGAAGTGTGAAAAAAACCCCACAAAATCATCCCTACTTCCAGCCCAGCACTAAAGCAGTCAAAGATTAGAGTTGACTTTTTAATTGGAGTTGCAAATCCCACCGCTGTCTCTTCTACTTTTCTTTTTTGCTTTTCATGGAACAAAACCTTTTTTATTCATGTCAGAAGAAAGTTTGTGTCAGCTTTTTTTTCAGGGGATTCCATTCCAAACTTTCAAACCTAGACTCATTGTGAGGATCTACCCCAAGAAACATTGGAGGAATCCGTGTGCCTAAAATATAAATCCCTCTTTTAACATATCAAATTATGTGCTTATATGCTCCATTATATCGTTGAGGCACCAACAAAACCATCAAACTTAAATTCTAAAGGCAAGCAGTGCAAAATGCCATTAGAAATACATTTGCATCAGATAATCTTCTCGGTCATGAATTTTTTAAAAAATGCAGTGGTTACTCATGGGTTTAAAAAAGCATTCCAGAGCTGTCATGCATCCCATGTCATGCTTGAAGAGCAGCTTCATATTCAGTGTTTTGTGTGCTAAAAGAGGAACATGGTGGGATAGCTACGGGTTTCCACTGCAAAGCTTTTTTTACCTTACCTTGTGATGAAACTGAAAAAAATATCAGGATGTTAATGAGGTGTATCTGGAAAATAGTTTTCTGATACTTTAAGGGATCAGCCAATATTACTTTTATTTAGACTCCATCAAACTCTCATAACTCAAGATGCAAAAATGTGAACTAGACTTTTACTCTTTTTCAAAATCCTGCTGTTTAGAGCCTTCTGTTGCAGGATTTAATTTTGAGATTCTGTAAGGATTGGCACTTTGTCTCTATATGTGAAGTCCTGCTTGGCAGAATGGCTTCTAGAGTACTCTCTCACAAAGAAACTACTATGAGCAGGAAAAAAAGGTGAAAAACGTAGAGGTGGTATGCACAGTCTGCTAGATGCACAATTATGTCCACTGTGACAAAATGATAAGATTTGTCATAAGAGTAGAGCAGTAGTTGTTATTTACTTTTTAAAATTCTCAATTCTTTGAAGATAAGATTCACTATATAAATGAGTCATTTGTACTTAATCAAGCAGAAGTACACCTGTGTATCACTTTCTATGCACACTCTTCTATATTGCCAAAAGAAAATTATTGAGATGTGGTAACATGCCAACTAACATGCCACTCAAAATCTTCTCTTTCAGACTTTCATAATACTTCTGCAAATATTGTGTGGTGAGCTAGCCTTTAAACTGAATCAGTTTTGACATCTAGCAATGCTACTCAAATGGGATGCTGTTTGGATAGTGTTAGCTTTGTAGCAAGCTGCGTGTATAACACATTTTTTTTAAATTTGATATGTCAATATGGTAGGCCTAGTTCTTTTTAATATATTTTATTTTGTGTCTGCATTATCATCTTTAATGTGATGTGCAACTATTGATTTTGTCAAACAGGCAGAAACTGAAATCCTATTAGGAAGAAGTATGATAATGGGTAGCATGTGTGCACTGAGGAATGAGTGTTATACATGAATTTCCATTGGTGTAATGATGCAGAGGAATTGCATGTCCAGCAGGGATGTCAAGTGCATTTATGCTAAAATAGACAAAAGCATATAGATTATGAAATCTAGGGACACCAATCAAATCCAGAAAGACGCCCAGCAGTACCAATTCTTTGTGATTGGAGTGAATCCTATGAGAGGGAGCTCAGATTATCATGATGGTACCCTTTGATGAAGGAACTTTTGCTTACTGCTAACACAGAGAAACATATTTTCCTCCTGGTTTATCTGAAGGGTTTTGCTCAAGTTAAGTAAAAGACCAGCTGCATTTCTGGCCAGCAGCAGACCATGAGATATTTAGCTTATAGAACCCAGCCTTTTAATTACCTGTGATTTTAGCACAATTTTCCAAACCTAAAAGGTGCCACCTTATAAGCAAAAGTAATACTGCAAATACGACTGCAGGATGCCACAATGCTGCCTTTTGTTATGACAAGATGGGTTTTTCTTTGCAACCATGGAGAGATTTGCATTTCTTGAATGTTTGATTTGGTTAAGTGATACATTTGCAATTGTTTCAGGTTGTAGTGTCTCTTAAAGATAATCTTAGGATAATGTATTTATTAAATGCTAAAAGATAAAAAATTGAGACATCAGTGAAATGCTTCTTGCTGTCAGTAACCTGTGACAATAGACCAGAATTAAGGCATCAACATGGGTACCTCCTTCTGAGTTTAATGAAGGGAGAGGGTCTGAGAAATGTAACCATGAAGTCATGGTGCTGTTGCTCAGAAACAACTTGGGCTTTTATTGAAAATCCTGCTCTTTACTAGATAGCGTGTATGTATTATTAAAATACTTGTGTATAGCAGTTGGTACAGGGAAGCACACAAGTTGTTTTTCCACAGAATAACTGTTCTTTCCCATTTTACTTGAAGTTTATGCTTACATTATCCATGATTAATATTTCTCCAGACATGGGAATGAGTGTACAGGAAGGAAGGAAGGGAAGGTAATATTGCCAGCTTGCACGATTGTGCTGGAAACAGGATGACATTTAAGAAAACCGTGGCACTGCCTTCATATTTTCCTGCTTGGAGTGGCAGAAAACTCTGTCCCTCTCAGTGGGGCAGCATCAAGGAATAGAAAAGATCCTTTTACCTTGCAAGGACAGCAAAAAAAATCTTCTTGGTCCTTTGCCACAAAGGAAAGAAGGACACAAGCAGAGGAAGGATGTGGCCTGTGGTATGACTGCCTTCTGCCACAGGGTGTACTGCTGGGTGGCTCCTGAGTATCTGATCTGTGGGTACTGGAGTTACCATTGTACTAAGATGCCCTGAGTGATTTTGTCTGCCTTTCTGCTCAGACCAGTATAATGCTAGCTATTCTTCTTTCACATTTTCAAACTTCTCTTCAGCCATGAGAGTGGGATATCAATAGCTGACAGTAACTGTATTCCTTTGGGAATCCTTTGTGAGCTTTGTGCCTTATGACCAAGCCACATATCTTGAGAATGATGTTTGAAATTTCATGTCTCTCAGAAACTGCAAGTCAAACCTCTCACTGCAGAACAGCCTTGAGCCTTGCCTGGGTCTGTTAGACAAGACGGCTAGTATGCACTGCTGGAGACTTTATAGAGAAAAATATCCTATCCCTAGAAAAACTTGGAATGTGCCATATTCTTTTTTATACTGAAGATCAGCTACCTTGGGAAAATTGGAGAAATTGGAAGGAGCTGAGAGGTCTTCAAAGCATGGGTGCGACAGAGGAAGGGAAGAATTGAGAATATGCAGCAGAGAGCATTTGGGGCTCTGTCTCTGTAGGGCAAGTGCCAGCAGCTGCAGTGGGCCAATTGATGGCAGTGAAGAAGTAGGAAGTGTGAGAATAATGCATAGAAAAAGGTTTGGAAAATAAATAATATAAAAAGGAATAGACCTATGGAGAGAAGTGATTGTAGAGCTGAACTGGCTAAAGAGAAAATAGCTGGGCTATACAGAGAATATGAAGAATGCAGCGACAAGAGGACGAGGAAGGGAGCTGGTTAGCATGGCAGGGCTGTGTTACCACGGGCTAGTGAGGGAGCCTGTAAAACTGAAAATAGCCCTGACTTCTACATTTTCACCTCAAGTGAAATTTTGGTCCTGAAAGTCTTAACCATGCTACTAGGAGAGGTTGTTTCCTCCTGGGAGATGCAAAAAGTGAAGGTCAATTATATACAGGAGCCTCTGTCAAACCTCAGCATGAAGGACTTTGTTATTTGGGAGTCACACAATAAATCCAGCATTGCAGTGTGCTCATCAGAGGCAAAACAAATATGTAACAAGGGAAGGGAGAAGATTCAAGTGTGTACTTGTGAAAGAGATATGCTGTGCAAATAAATTACAGGTCGGGCTACTGAGTTGCCCACTCCCTAAGGAATGTGTGGTATTTACATGAAATTAAAGTCACTGAATTCCCAGCTGAAAAGTAGATAGATTTGTTAGGAAAACTGACTGTAGTTTCAAAACCAGGCATAATTCCACATGCAGTTGATTGCTGCAAAGCACTGATAGCTCTTATCTTACTGGTATTGTATTTTGTTTTATTTCACTGTGCTAGGAGCTATAACCATCCTTTTCTTTTCCTGATATTTTAGGTACAGAGAGAACTGGCTGCTGTCATTGCCTTGAAAGCAAGGAAGTCAGGTGAGTCAGGCTGAACTTCAGAGGGGTTTTTGTAATGCTGTTCCCTTTTGTCATTTCTTGAAGTATCTGCTGTCTTTTTAATATGGGGGAGAAAAGATAGTGATGGAGAATATGTGTATACAGCACAAAGCAATTACAATTAAGCTTATCTCCTTCCAGCTCATTACATCTAATGACCTAGCTAATAGAATCAATGTTACAGCTGCACTTGGGTCTCTTTCTGGCCAAAATCACTATTTTTTCTAGGCTTGCACTTCATAAAAAAAGATTATGTCTATCTGACTAACATTTAAGACAAATAAGTCGGTCATTTTCCTTTTTTATCATCCAGTATCTCATGCCATCATCTTCTCTGCCTTTTACTGGCCCAGCCATGTGTTTTTCTTACTGCTAAAGCAAAAGGACAACTTCATGCATGAAGGCATTCTTTCCTGTCTGTAACCTGTGTGACTGGAGAGGCAAGTCTTTGATCAGGGCAGGAGAAGGAGAAAGGCAATTGGATAACTGGAAGTCTCTGACAGTAAAAGCACTGGCAGCAAATGCTGGTGCCACAGTGCAAAGGCACTGAAATACGTGGCCATCTCAGCTCCATCAGGGTTTGGTAGCACAGGCACTTGAGAAGGTAGTCTGCATTGCTGAGCTGGAGTGGAAGCTAGGAAGTGTTTTCCAGGCACTGCACAGGAACCAACAGAACCTACTTGGCCAGACCTGATTCCTTACAGGATTAACTCTCTGGTGTCTTTGTGCAGTGTTTTCTGCACCAAGCTGAATGTATTTCTATTATAAATCAGAGATGGAGTGTCCTTAAATTATTAGCATGTTCTCAAAGCCATTGAGGTCTTTGAGTGCATTTTCACTGAGCATCTCTTGTGATTTTCAGTGAATTTTCTAGAAATCAAAGTCACAGATCTTGTACTTCTTGAGCTATTTTCTGAATTATTCACTGTTCTGCATCATAATATCTCTGTCAGTCTGCCTGTGGCTCACAAGTACAGCACAAAATTTACTACACACATGCACAACACACGGCATGGTATCGTAAACTGGAGGCACCAAGAGGATGTGGCTGGCATACCTGCAAATATTTACTTGTGAAAATGTAAGTATTAAAAAGAAAATATTCTAGACATAGTTTGACGCCTTTTTTCCTGGGAATAGAAGTACCCATAAGTTATACTCACAATCATCTATAAATGTAAATCTGTAGAAAGTGAACAAATGTGAGTATGAATTCAGACCTGAATTGCTACTGTGTGGTAGCTTTGCTTCTGAAAGTCCTGTCATAGTGTATGATGTCAACACCCCTCGGCTGCTTGCCCTTACCTGGTGTCACCCCAGTCCCACCTGACTTGTAATGGCTGAACATGCAAATGCTTCTGCTCTGGCTCAGAGCAGAGGAAAACAGGCTATTTTAAAGAAGCGCTCAAGGTAATATTTTGTTTTTCTGTTAAATGGGCTGAGAGTGGTGCCACGTACATTTACTTCCTGCTTATGGAGGTATAAGAATATTTCTCTGCTTCTAAGCAGTTCTGTCAGCAAATATTACTACTGCTACTAGCTATAAATAGAAGTCTTTCCCCCAAAAGATTTGTTTTAAGCCTGAATTAGCTTCTTATTTCCTTTTGGTGGTTGTTAGAGTAGAAAATGCAATGGGCACTGGATTAGGAATGAGGTGCAAGAGATGAAAATCCAAAAGGACAATATCTCTTGGAATCTCCTTCTTACTGGTATAATTGCAATCCTCTAAGAACTGATAGAAATATTTCAGTTAAAAATCACAGCCTTAAAAAAGCAAAGCTCCTTATATAGCTTTGCAGTGCTGTCCAGCCTTTTCTAATACATTAATGTAAGCACTTAAAAGATCTGTTCAGATCTGAACAAAAGATAACTGTTTAGTCAGTTTAACTAGTGCATGCTTGTTGTTGAAATTTGCATTTCTTTATGCCCTGTCTTGGATGCCTGTAAAAGATAGGTGTATGATCAGGCATAACTGTAAGGTCTAATTTAAGTTAATGCCTTTAGTAAAGTAGGTGCAGAGTAAATTAGGGTGGTTGGTTATGCTCTTTTACTTTATTGCTTGTGGTGAAATTCACAGTGTGGCAGTTACTGTGAGTGATCAAGCTATGGTGTGCTGTGCCCGGTGAAGTGAAGCACGTTTCAGAGAAAGTACTACTGGAGCTGTAAGCCACAGTATCTTTCAAATATATTGTTCCTCTAATCCTCTCCAAGACTCCATATAATTCCAGGAAATAAGCCACCAAAAATCAGACAAAGAGTTTATTTTGGCTTGAAAAGAGTGGAACATGGCTTCTGGGCCAGCTGCCCTGGGTGGCTTCCAGGCTGGTGTGAATGGCGTGGGAGCCTGGCTCATCCAGCCTGGGATTCGTGAGTGGGCAGGGCAGGCAATGGGCATGCTCCTAACCTGCTGTCTGGAACCTGGCTGTAGAGGGTAACTGGTTCATTAACCAAAGGCTTTCCTAGAAATCAGTGAGCCTCCACTCCCACCAGCCCCTCGCCAAAAAAAAAAAAAA